GGGAAAATAATAAAACAACTCTAAACTATGATTAGCACATTCACTGGCGGAAACAAGTTGGGTAGGGGTGATTGGTTACTCAAGAGGGGGATTCATTTGAACTGATTGGTTTAAGCCAAGAGGGGTGTTCATGCTGAACTACAGGGTTTCCCAACATCATAAACTACTGGGAGGGTCATCTGGCATCCCAGGTATTTCCCTGTCTCATGCTGATTGGTGGCTGCTAGGGGGTTGCTATGGGCCCTCACCTAGCCTGACTGAGTCAGGGACACCTGGCTCAGCAGATCTCTCCTGTTATTTGTAGATAAACAACTCAGCAGGGTGGGAATGTGCCTAGGAGTGCTCTGTAGTCTTTTCCAAGGACAAAGGTCATGCCCCTTCCTTGACAGGCTTTGCTGTGAGGTAGAGGCTGGTTTTTCACTGGCCTCTCAGGCCAACATCAATATGACAAAATATAATTTCAGTCCAAACTAAGGACCTAAATTTAGGGTCAAATAATTCAATTTGCAACAAAAGGGGCAAGTTCTAACTAAGCCACACTATGGAATAATAGTTTTCAAATTTTTTATTCTCAGCATCCTTTGCATTCTTAATAATTATTGAGAATCCTGGAAAGCTTTTGTTTAAAGAAATTTTATGTATTGATATTTATTGTTCTAGAAATTAAAACAGAACTTTGAAATTTTTACTTATCAATTCATTTAAAAAGAAAAATAAACCAATCACATATTAATATATTTTATTTAAAAAACTTTCTAAAAGATTTAGGGATGGGAGTGACCTTCCTTTCAGTTTTTATGACCCTTCAGGTGCATTTTGTAAGGTTCTGCATTCAGTCTGATGCAATACAGTGTCTCGTTGCCTTACTTGAAGTATGTGAAGAAAATCCAGCCTCACACAGATGTGTGTTAGGCAAAAGAACATTTTTTGAGGGGGGAAGGAGTACCAGAGATGGAATGCAGGGGCACTTAACTACTGAGCCACATCCCCTTTTTATTTTTTAGTTCTTTAAAATTGTTGATAGACCTTTATTTTATTTATTTATATGTGGTGCTAAGAATTGAACCTAGTGCCTCACACAAACCAGGTAAGTGTGCTACCACTGAGCCCCAACCCCAGCCCCTTTATTTTTTATTTTGAGACAGGGTCTTGCTAAGTTGCTTAGGACCTCAGTAAGTTGCTAAGGCTGGCTTTGAACTTGTAGTCCTCCTGCCTCAGCCTCCTGAGTCACTGGGATTACAGGCATGTACCACCACACCTGGCAGGAAATGGACATTCTTGATGTCATACCAAAACTTGATAAGTGGTAGTTTCTTAAAAGTTTGAAACCATATTGTGAACTTTTTAAAAAAAAAATCTATTTATTTGTGGATGAACACACAGTATCTTTGTTTATTTTTATGTGGTGCTGAGGATCAAACCCAGTGCCTCACACATGCAAGGCAAGCGCTTTACCACTGAGCCCCAGCCCCAGCCCCATATATTGTGAACTTTTTGTAGTGTTATATTAAAATCCATTGGCCTGTGACAGAAAGATTAATTTTTTTGTCATTGGCAACAGGTTCTGTCAGTTGTTTTCCTTGAAGTGACAGCCTTACCTCATTTTTGAGAAGATGTCTGCCAAATAAGGGAGTCTGAATAACCAGGTTGTCGATCTTTGTCTCAACAAAAGATGGTGAGTCAAGCAGGTATTTGGCTCAAATAATTGTGTTCAGTGTTTTTCTCCAGGCAACCATGGTATTTATGTGTGCAGCACCCGTATTTCCTGTCCACAGGATTCCTCCCTCACATCAATCCTACCAAGTCGTCCCCTGTCATTGTAAAAGAGTGCTTGTTTTGTCTGCTCTGGAGCTCAGATTAATTCCTAACCCCTAGAGAGAATAAATGGACAGAGGAACAGGACCATTTCAGGAGGCTGGGAGGAAGTGTGCATTGCAGCTCTTGGTAACCTTTGCTTTGGGGGAAATCCTCTGCATCAAGATGAACTTCCTTGGGGCAGTCTGTGAGTGGCACCAGTGACTTCTCACTGAGCAGTGAGGGTCAGTGTTCCTCCTCTAAAGCAGCTCCTAAGCACTTCTGATAAGAAGACTTAGCTAAGAAATCATGACCACCTCCCGACACCTCACTACTAGAAAATGGAAAAACAAAACAAAACCCAAGGAAGGTGAGACATGAGTTTCCTGGTAGAGTCGTTCTTCTGTTCAGCAAACCCTAGAGCTCACTGCCCCAACAGCAGGCACACAGCTGGCTGCAATGGCCAAGGGGTTCACTCTCTGGTGGGGAAGGTATAAAGAGAGTATCACAGGCTCATCTCTTGGGGAAGAGCATGGCCTGCAAATCTCTGCATGATTGGGTCCTGTGCCCTGTCCCAACCTAATCCCCACTCTATCCTTGTTCTTTCTGCCCACCATCGTGTCTTGGCCACACTGAATGACATGGGAGTACTTGAATAAGTGGTACTATTTTGTGCCTTTACCCCTCTCGCTAGTTAACAAGGACTGCCTGTGTTGCATCTCTGGCAGCAGATTTCCATCTGTGGCAGAGCCCAGATGGAAGAAGAGGAAGCCTGAACCTAATTCAGTTCTGAAATTTTATCTTTACTTGAGACTGGACATTTCACTTCATGAATTGAGGCTGTTTTGTGACTTAAAGGTAATCATAGCTTTCTGTTTAATCTAAGATTGAAAATTTTGAGGCTAGTCCTAGTTTTCACCCAGGGTCAGGGAGAACTAAAACCTCCAGAAAAAATATGAAGGAATAATAGGAGAAAAAAATAAATATTGTTATGATAAGATGCTAAGAGCCACATTTGTTTCCAGGTACCCATGCCAGTCCTTCCCTTGACTGTGATTCCTTCCTGTCTGGAAGAAAGGAGGAAGGAGAGGAAGTCCTCAATTAAGATCGAGTGGCACAGGGGTGGGAAAGAAACCTTGGGCAGGGCAGGCTCTGTCCAGGGAGCATAAGTTCGTGGCAAGACTCAAGTTGCAATGTTGCCCCAGGAATCGGCCTCCAAACTTGACAGGGTCTCTCACAGGGGGACTGGGAGACTTCAGTGGAGCTGCCCCTCACCATACAGAAACTTTCTAATGCAAATGAACCCCAGAAGGTCAATATAACTGCAAATAAGTATCAGCCAGGTGGAGATGACAGACACCAGATCCTTTTCTGATGGCACTGTGCTCCTCCAGCAGACACCAGAGAGAGGAAAAGGGAGCCATTTAAAAGGAAAGGGTCATGACCAAAGATAAGGGGGAAAGGAGGCCACCTGGCTGACTGCCTGTCGCACCGCCCACCGGATGTGCACGCAGAATGCAGGTAATGCAGAAAACGAGGTTGACAGGTCAGGAAATGCACCCCAAATGCACTACTAAATGTCGGAGCTGGGACTTAAATTCAATGTGTCCAGCTCCAAAGTCCATTATAGCAGGCCACAGTGCCTGGCTCTGGGTCAGCAAGCCCTCGTGTTCATTTTCTTCATCTTGTGTGCACCTAAGAACTGGGGTCCTGGGTGATTTGCGTACCCGTGCACACCATCCCTGCAGGGCAATTGGGTGCAGAGTCTTAGGGCAGTGCTCAGGTAGGCTGCTGTGGGGGCTGGAAGAAGGTCTCCAGGCCTCACCCAGTGCCCTGGCCACCTCTGCCCTGCTGTGTACATCCTGTCTTCCTATCCTGGGGCTTCCATCTGCCTTCTCAGGCATGTGCCCCACATGGCAAGGCTCACCACCTTCTCCGGCATCACAGGACTGCTGGAGAGCAGCCAACACACTGTTAACCAACCAACCTGTCACATCTATATGTACACAACCTGTCACATCTATATGTTACTCCCTCACAGGCCAGTCTCATGCTGGAGCTGGGGACCCCTTGTCTAACACCTGAGAGAGTCAGCACACCTAGATCAGGCATCAACCAGTGAACTGAAGGCCAAGGAAAAACCCCCGAGTCAGTCAAGGGCAAAGGATACCCTCCCTCTGGTGATCTTCACTCACATCTCTCCTATTGGTGAAGGGCTTAGAATATGACCACCGGCTACTGTGATCATGATATTTTCTACAGCTTATCACAACAGGTCCCCCAGCTTCTGAGGTGTTGAACAACACGTGTGGGGATGGGGGTTTGGTGCCACTTTGGGCTTGGTCCGAAGGCCCTCAGCCTGTCCTCAGCTGCTGCAGCAAATCTAACATCAGAAACTGTTGTCCAGCAGCAGGACCAGTGCCTGGTTATCTCCTCTGAAGAACATTCCCTCCTGGACAGCCCATGTCTGACACCCGTCTAAGTCCTCAGCACCTAGTATGACAGCACACAGCAGCGGCATGACCCGTGCTTTGATGCTTTGGGAATATCAATTGAGAAGAGACAAGAGTTTTCACAAATTGATACATATACTTCATTATTTGTCAGTCAGTTGTGTACATATAGATGTCACTTTAAGTTACATAATCGCAAGGACATGAACACATGGTAGCTCATCCCTCTGGCTGAGTGTCTGGGGAAAATTCAAATCCTTTTGTGGTTTCTCTACATTTTCTGATAGCTCCACCCACCCTGGCCACTTCCCCCTGGACCTACTCCCCTTCTCCCCTGCCCTCCCTTCCCTCCGTGATGTGGCAAGGCAGGGAAGGGCCAGTGAAGACAGACTGCAGGTTCACAGCGGCCTGCTGGCCAGGCGTCTGCCGCAGCTGCTTTGGTGTTCTTGCTGGTCTCAGGTAGTGTACACTTTGCCATTTTGAAGAAACTAAATTCCTTGAAGGCAAGGACCAGGGCCTCTTTGTCCCTGGGCATGGAGGGACAGGGGACATGAAGAGCAGTATCTTGGTAGACTGCTGAGCATGAGTCACCCATGGGGGCTCTGGGGCTCCAAGCTGGGACAGGACAAGCTCATGAACAAATCACTAAGACGTGACACAGTGGGTGCTAGAGATGTACAGAGCACTATGGGAAGGGAAGGGGCCGCGCAGAACAGCTTCCTCAGAGGGACATTTATTGGCAGGTACCATATCCTACGTTAGGCACTTCAACTCCATTTTATTTAATCCTCCTCAAGGAGGAAACCAATCTCAAAGGCGAGTCACCAGAAAAGCTGCTGAGCTGGGCTTCAGATCCAGATCTGTCGGCTTCTCAAGCCCACTCGCTTTCCTCTGTGCAAGCGGCCAACTGTGGGGAGATCTGATGTGGGGCTCAGGGAATGGTAGAGAGACCTCCAGAATAAATGAATCACTTTCAGAGCAAAGTAAAATAATAAAAAAACAAAAATGAAAAACACACAAAAGAAACAAAAAAACACCATATTCTCCCCAAATTTCACATCGTGACTAGCTGGAAGAGCAAACATAAAAGATGCTGGAAACATGACCGTGGAGAGAAGAGCTGTCTGAGCGGATGTTAGCTTTTTCCTCCTGATTTCTTGTTCTCTAAGCCAACAGGGCCAAAGAATATTCCAAAACTGCTGCTGCTGACTGGCTCCAGGAGAAGAGAGACCTCTGGATTTTAAATGTCTCTAGGACAGCTTCACTTTGGGCTCTGGAGTCTCAGTTTTGTTTTTTATACTGTAAGATAGAGAGATTAGAAGTGGGTGAGGGAAGCCAGTGGGGAGAGAACTCGGGAAATCTCAAACCCTAGTCACCTAGGTCTCCCCGCCTCCAGCAGAGGCTCCTCAGCAGTGGTGACACCCAGGCAGGAGACACTGGACAGTCCAATCTCTAGTTCATGCCTGGACCCTCTCTTTCATTTAACAGAAAAAGAAGCTGCTGGCCTTGGTTGGGGGCAGGAGGAGGCTCATAATAAAGAAACTGGTAACATTAGAAACGAACATGTGGTCACCCATACTTTGAATCTTGTTTGAGGAAGAAAATTCTCAGGATCTGAGAATTCCTCTAAGAGGAAGACTCTCAGAAATCATAGGATGATCCTCTGCCAATCACTGTTTACAAAAATGGACCCTGAACCCCATATTTGGAGATTCTGAGTTGGAAGGATAGGGAGCTAGGGGCAAACTCCTTCTCTAGGTTGTTTTAACACCATCTACATTCCTGTCTCACTCCCTTCCTCCACCCAACAGATCCCTGAATGATTCCTCAATAATCCTGCCACAGTGTGAGTACCCTGGAGTCCCCAAACAGCTGTCCTCTTGGAGCCACCACAGCACTGCTGCCAGCTCTGGCACCACTGCTTCCAAGACAGTTCTCTCCCTTCGCTTAAGTCCCCATTCCAGCTCGTTCAGCACTTTTGGCAGAAATCTGCCTTTAAGGATTAAGGGTGAACCCCTCACCCAAACTTGCAGAAAATAAATGCAACCAGAAGAGGAGTAGCTGGTGGGGATGGCCTGAGCACTGGCCCTTCTCAGCTGTGGGGCGGGGGCGACTCCTAGTGGTCACAGTTATCACTGCCCCATTCTCAGGCTGAGGTGGGAACCAAGCACTTACTTTGTTCATGATCCAGTCAGCATCTTCAATGGCTCTTTTAATAATCTGCTGGATTCTCTCAGGGTTGTCTTCATCTGAATGAACTCGGAAACTCTGGAAGTTTCAGCATTAAAAAAAAAAGATAACTAGACAAAATTCACAGTGCCAGCAGCTTCAGAGCACCAGTCCTTGGCCAGATAACACTGCTGGCAGGATACACCCAGCATCTCTTAATCCTCTATGGTTATCATTATCCCACTTAGAGCTGAGGAAACAGGGGCTCAGAAATCCAAATGTGCTGCTAAGCAACAGCATTTGAATCCTAGTCTATTTGATAGCAAAGAGGACAATCCTGGCAGCAGGGCAGATGCTTAAAGGACTGACCCTCTGGGCCTCTGATAGGCAGGCTATCAGGGCTAAAAGGAAACTTCAATCTCTCTGTTGAATTTGCTCCTCACTGAAGCTGCTTTCCTCAGAGTGAGACCTCCTCCTCCCCCACACCAGGAAGAGGGCTTCTCTCTGGAACAGCCAAGCAGGGACAGAAGGCAGTGGAGGAGGTGGCTTTGAGGAATCCAGCCAGGCCCAAGACAGAGCACAGGCTGATGTTGGCTTCGGATCAGTCTGAGATTTGGGTTCACTGGGGTGATTCTCAGGGCCCTTTAGAAAGAACTGGTACCTCCCTTCCCTGTCATTCCCAACCCCACACATCCCCCTTCTCTCTTGAGGAACCACCTCAACTGCCTCCTCTGGAAAGCCCTCCTGACTCCCCCAGATGGCTAACCACTCCCTTCTCTGTGTTCCCACAGCCTTCTGTTGCTACCTCTCTATATTTTTTTTAACTTTTCATATTATACTTGTATGAATTCTAATTTTTAAATTTTTTATTTGGAAATGATTTATTACAGAAAGGTTGCAAAAAAAAGTACGAAGAATTCCCTTCCACAATCACTAGTTGTTAACATTTTGCTATATTTGCTTTATTGTTCTTTGTATGTGTATTATAAGGTTTCCCTGGAAGGATTTAAAAGTATCTTGCAGACATTGTGCCCACAAACCCTAAGCACTTCAATGTGCATTTCTTAACAACAAGGGCGTTCTCTTATATAATCATAGTAATCAAATGCAGAAAATTTAACATTTACACTATTATCTAATGTACAACCCACATTCCAATTTCATGCACTGCTCCAATAATGTCCCTTACAGACATTTTTTTCTGGTCCAGAATCCAATCTGGGATCATGCATTACATTTAGTTCTCACATCTCTTTAGTCTCCTTTAATCCAGGGCAGCTCTGTTTCATGAAATTGACATTTTTTTGGGGGGTGGGAGCTTGCCAGGGATTGAATTCAGGGACACTCAACACATCCCCAGCCCTATTTTGTATTTTACCTAGAGACAGGGTCTTACTGGGTCATTTAGTGCCTTGCTTTTGCTGAGATTAACTTTGAACTTGCAATCCTCCTGACTCAACCTCCAGAGCCACTGGAATGACAGATGTGTGCCACCATGGCCAGCTAAGTTGACATTTTTGATGAGTACAGGCCAGTAGGTTGTCTGGTAGATGGTGGTTTGGGTTTACCTGATATTTTCCTGTGATTAAATTCAGGTTGTGTGCTGTTGGCAAAATGACGTGGTCTACAGTCTATTTCAATTACCCACTGAACTGCCCTATTCATATGCTGGAGCAGAGGTGATGTGCTATGAGCAGCCTCGGCCTCCTGGACAGACACCAGAGAGGGGCTGTGTTGCTCAGCATTGTTTCCAGTTTCTCTTGCCAAACTCCAACCCCCACCTGAAAGACTATCCTTCCCCTGGCCTGACTCCCTGCCAGACCCCCACATTAAAGGACCCCCCCTGACACAGTGCATCATGGTTCCCACCTGCCTGACAGCATGTTTGTAATGCTCCTGGATGCCCTTGGTTGGCAGCTGCCGGCAACAATGCAGCAAGTATCGGTAGAGCTGTCGTGGCTTCTGGATCAGCTCTGCCCCAGGTAGCGGGGCCATCCGCAAGACCCTCTTCTGGAAAACAAAAAGCATTCCTTCTTAGGTATCAAGTCAGATCTCTACATGGTTCTGGCCTCTTGGACCCAGCCCTCTGAGAAGCAGGCCTAAGGCAGCACAGAAGCCAGGTCCCCTTCTTGGCCCACTCCCATGGAGCCCACACCCTGGGCTGGGTCTCAACCCTGCTGAAGTCTCAGCCCACAAACAGTCCTGCAAGAATCATAAGCAAGCATGGAGGGAGACACACAGTCTCATCATTGGTGTCTTTTTTCTGGAGTCCAACTTCAGGTGGCGGGTAAGTAGGTGATATTGAGCAGAGGAGGGAAGATAAGCAAGAAGACTCTGAGTGGCAATCGGAGCAACCAGCTCTGATGCTAGCCAGGCATGTCCTAGTGACAGCACCAGGGAAGAGACTGGAGAAGCTACTCAAAGCACAGCCCTAGACCAGCAGCAATGGCACTACTCAGAAACTTGTCAGAAATACAGAGTCTGAGGCCAACCAGATTCCTTAGACCAATCTGCATGCTAACAAGATCCCAGCAGATTCATATGCACATTAAAGCTTGAAAAGCATGATTCTAGAAGGCTCTGTATGAAGAAGCAGCTGCACACGGAGTGACCAGGTGAAGTCAGAGCCTGGGCATATGACTTTACTTCACTGTGTGTTGAGTGCTGAGCACTTACCTGTTTGCAATTCATGCATACATTAAAAAACTAAGCACAGAAGTCTGGTAACTTGCCCAAGATCACAGCTGATAAAGGTAAAAACTGAGATTTCAACACTGGCAATCTAGCTCCAGAGCCCATGTTTAAAAAAAACAGCTTTACTGAAGTGTTGTTGACGTACAGTCAAGCACACACATTTAAAGGGTACCATTCCATAAGTTTTGACCTCAATGCATTCGAGAGAGATCATCACCACAATCAAGAGTGAACATACCCATCATCCCCAGTTGCCTCATGCCTGTTTGTCATCCCTGTCGTCCCCACTTTCCCATCCCCAAGCAAATACTGATCTGCTTTCTATCACTGCAGGTTTGTTTGCATTCTCTATAGTCTGTATAAGTGGAACGATACTCCATGCTCTTTTGGGTCTGCAGAGCCCATATTCTTTTCTTTCTTTTTAATTTAAATTTGTTTTTTAATATATCAAACATAAAAATTTTACAAATGTATAGGGTACCAGTGATATTTCAAAATGTGTATACATTTTGGAATGTTTAAATTGGGTTAAACATGTCTTCCTCCTCACTTATCATTTCTTTATGGTGAAAATATTCAAAATCCTTTCTTCTATAAGACCTATATTTTTAATCTTTGTATTATACATGTCCTCTCCAAAGAACCCACTACCCTAGCCTGAACTTTGTCTTTTTTTTTTTTAAGGAAACTAAAAGCATATAAATGTTTTTAAATGGTAGATTCTAGAATGTAAGGGCTAGTTAAACATTCATTAAGAGACTCCCAGCCCACAGCCATGTCCCGCCCTGTTCTCACTGCCCCATTGGCTCAGGCCTGAACTTCTGCCATAGAACTCTGCCTGGTGCCCCTGCCTCCCACGTCACTCCAATCTCCTCCACACTGCCACCAAAGGAGCTCTGGAACCAGTATCCTGGGTACATTACATTCAGCCACAGGAACATCTCCCAGATCCCAAAGCATCACCTCTCAGTACCTTTGTAGACGCAGTCTGCTGAGCTCTATGCTCCCTTTCCCATCTCCTCACTCAGACTTCCAGATCCAGCTCTTTCCTCCAGGAAGTCCTTCCTGGCACTGTTCCTTCCTGAGGATAGGGGAATCACTCCATGGTGTGTGGGGCTACAGGGCCCTGGTCATAGTGCTGCTGCAGTACTTCCCACTGGGGAATTCATCTGTTGCCAGGCCAGTGGCTCCCACTAGGTGACAGCCTGGCCCAGGTTCCAGTGCAGCCCCTCGCCCACAGCAGTCTTCACACACTGGTTGAGCTGAACTCCAAGAGTCGACTATCTCCTTTGTACAGATTTTCCCTCTCTGAGAGACAGGCTCTCTGTGTTCCAGCTGAAGGAGCTAAACGACAGATTAAGTGAATGATACAAGTTTAACGTAGTATAAAAAAGAGCAAGACAACCTTCTTATCCACACCCCAGCCAGAGAGAAGCAAACACTAAATCAGATGTCCTTACACTAAGGAAAGAAAGTTATTAAGAAGTTCCTTCAGGGATGGGGATGTGGCTCAAGCGGTGGTGCGCTCACCTGACATGCGTGCTGCCCGGGTTCGATCCTCAGCACCACATACAAACAAAGATGTTGTGTCCGCTGAAAACTTAAAAAAAAAAAAAAAAAAGAAGTTCCTTCACAGCCGCAGCAATTTAGTGAGGCCCTAAACAATTTAGTGAGAACCCTAAAAAAGGGGCTGGGTATGTGGCTCAGTGGTTAAGCAACCCTGGGTTCAATCCTTGGTCTCTTCAGAATATCAGGGTTCAGAAGCTCCTTCATTCCCCTTCCAGCATGTTATCTTCCTGACAACAATACACATCTGTAATTCCTCCTGGTTCCCTCTTGCTCTGACTCTGAAATGGACAGTGGTTGTCTTCCCACCATCCCCTGGAATAGCTTTGTGTGCAACTCAGGATACATCCTTCCACAAGTTTCAGCCCTCCAGACCAATCAGAGCTTTGCATCCATGTGAGCTCAGGGATTGGTTCACAGATTGGTTCACAGCTAGAAGCTGATCCAATCAAAAGTAAAGCTCACCATCTCTGAAGATGAGACTGAAAGGACTCCACCTCTTTCCCACTAGTGTTGATCCTCTCAGGGAAGCCATCTTGCCTCTTACTGAACCCTGACACTGCAGCCTCACCACAGAAGGCAGAGCTGAGACCCTGAGAGAAACCAAGTCCAAAGAACTCATGTGAGCCCTAAAACCATCCACCTGAAGGCACCCCAGTCCTAGACCTCTCAATGATATGAGTCCTTTGCCAAAGCTGCTTGTGCTTGTTGTTTAGTCACTTGCAATCCAAAGAGTCCTAAATGGATGACAGATTCTGACCTCCCAAATTCTGTTTCCATGATGTACTCAGTTGGTTCTAGCTGTAAGGAAGAGTCTAAAAAGGATAAGGTTCCTCAAGTTCCTTCTACTATGAATCAACATCAGTCTGACTAGCCACAGGTAAGCCCAAAAAACAGAGGGGACCCCATACAATGTTGGCCAAGAACTTCAAGGGCAACCATAGAGGACATACAAACAGAGTCCCAAACAAGATGGGCAGATTCCCCTGGCAGGCTTCCCCAAACTATATAAAGTGCTAATCAAATATTGTAAAATGCTAGTCGTGTAACAGATGGTTACCATCTGTAGTCCTCAAAATTAACATTTGGAAAGAGCACAACTTTGTTTCATTTCTTAAAACCCAAGCAATACTTAGTAACCAACCCAGCAAGTATGGGCGGTAGATTATTTTCAGCTCAATTATAATACTTAGTCATTCTCAGTAATAACTAGTAGAGAATACATGTGTGGGTCCACTTAGAAGAACTAAATTAAAAATGTTTTAATTTAATTTAAAGTGTAGGCTTATTATTAAGGGGCAACGAACTTCACAGCATCATTGCTAAAACAAGAGTCAAACCCTGTGACCCTGGAAATGCTTGCTTCTCTTCCCTGCCCTTTGGACTTGACCTTTGCTTCCCACCCAGGCTCCTTGCATCTGTGATGGCATCTTCATTGCCCTGGCAACCAAACTAAAACCATCACAGAGTGAACTTACCTCCTCCTTATCCCTCAATCTCCAATCCACTGGTTTCTAAGTCCTATCAAATTTTACCTCTAATTTTTCCTCAAATTTGTCTCCTCCTCTTGGTTTGGACTCCATGTGTGTATGTGTGTGTGTGTGTGTGTGTATGTGCACGCGCATATGTGTTGGTATTTCTGGGGATGGAACCAGAGCCTCACACATACTCAGCCAGCACTCTGCGACTGAGCTACGCTCCCAGACCCCCTTTTTTGAGACATGATCTCATTAAGTTGCCCAGGCTGGCCCTGAACTTGCAATCCTCCTGCCTCAGCCTCCCACACCCAGCTTTGGTTCAGACTTAAATCTCAACTGTGATAGTCCTCAAGCTGGTTTCCCAGCCTTTCAATCCATTTCTCTCATATATTCTCCACCCAACAGCCAGAGTGACTCTTTCTGAAACATAAATCTCAGGGTATCTTATCCCGAGGAAGTTTAACCCTTAATATTCACTCCTACTCCTCATCATTCATGGCAACATTTTCCATTATGTAAGACAAACACCTGAAATTATTTTAAGCAGTATATGGATCACATTTTTTCATTGTAAAGATTTTTATATTTATTTCTATATGTGATGAGGAAAAGCCACAATATCATAGATATTAGGCTTAAAATAGTTTTTAAAGGAATGGGCATAAAATTGATTTTTAAAAATGTACCAAGCAAATAATAATGTGACTGAATAAAAATGTGATTGAAATGTGGATATGTCAGAAATCATAAAAGTGGAACTGAAGTTTAGAAAGCACTGGTCTACAGAATAAAATCCAGATTCCTTTCTGTGGCCTGCAAGGTCCCTTTTGATCTGGCCCCTGCCCATCTCTCATCTGCACCTCAACACTTAGGCCTAATCCAAGCAAACTGAGCCTTAAATGGCACACTCGTGACAGCGCACTTTCTGTTTTCCTGTTACGGTATCGGCACTGTCACAGAATACCTGGCATGAAGTATTAGGGGCTCTCCAGAGAAACACAACCAATTGAAGGGTATATGCATTTGTGTGTGTGTGTGTATGTGTGTGTGATTTGCTACAAGGAATTATAGAGACTAGCAAGTCTGAAATCTGCAGAGCTGACGTCATAGTTCTAGCACAAAGCCTAAAAGTTACTGTACAACCAGGAAGGACCAGTGTCTCCATACAAAGACCACCAAGCAAAAGGATTTTTCTTATTTGGGGAAGACTCAGACTTTTCATTCTAGTCAGGACTTTAATAGATTGAATGAGGTCCACTCATATTAAAGGGGACAAACTGCCTGATCAAATCTACCAATTTAAATCCATAAATGTCTTCGCAGACACACCTAGAATAATGTTCAAATATCTGGGTACCTCACAGCCCAATCAAATTGACCCATATTATCCCTTCCCCAAAACGTCCCGTATCTGTTTGCTGAACACCCCCCCCCCGTGTCCTCCTACAATACTCCTCTGTTTCCTGCAGCTCTCAGTCTTCACTACTCAACTCTGGGTCTGGCACTTCCTCCTGGGAGCCCTCACTCGTCCAGTACCCTGAACCATGTTCAGTGGGATGACCTCAAAAAGCCCTCATCACCCCAAAGTACTCTAGCCCAGGCTCCAGTTCAGGCTCTGGCCTGGATTACTGGAAGGAGATCTACCTGCCCTCAGGGGCCCGCCAGCTGTCCTCCACACAGTGATCATCCTGCTTAACTTCCCCACTGAAAATAATCCCACAACTGACATTAGAGAATGATGTGAATTATTATTAATCATTAATTATGATGTTATGGTTATGTGTAGAATTCCCTTATTCTTAGGAGATGCAAGTGGGAATTATTTAGAGGTGATGTGTCATCAGATCTGCAACTTATTTTCAAATCATTGAGCAAAAGTCAACACCAGGAGAGAAGAGACAGAGTGAGAAAGATAAGGAAACGTGGAGGCAGGCACAGGGGCGCACACCATCATCCCAGGGGCTCAGCAGGCTGAGGCAGGAGCTTCACAAGTTCAAAGTCAGCCTCAGCAATTTAGCAAGGCCCTAAGCAACTCTGCAAGACCTGTCTCTAAATTTCAAAAAATACAAAACAGGGGTTGGGCTATACCTCAGTGGTAGAGCACTTGCCTGGCATGTGTGGCCTGGCACGTGTGGCCTGGCACATGTGGGGCACTGGGTTTGATCCTTAGCACTACACAGAGATAAATAAATAAAATAAAGATGTTATGTCCATCTACAACTAAAAATTAAAAACAAAACAAAACAAAGGCTGGGGATGTGAGTCACTAGTTAAGCGCCCCTGGGTTCAATCCCCGGTACAAAAAAAAAAAAAAGTGGCAAAATGTCAAGACTTCATTTGGATGTTAGGGATGGACATTTTGCCATTATTTTAACTTCTATGCATTTTGAAAATGTTTGTAATAAAAAGTTATTTAAGAAACACCCTTGGCAGAGAGCCATCCAGTTTTCCTTCCTCAACATGCACCCTAGTGGCAGGGAACTCACAGGCACCCCATTTTCCTCCACTCAGGCTGCTGGGAAATCCTTCTGGTTCTGAGCTAAAGCCTGCCACCACACAATTCTACTCACTGGTCTCAGCTCTGCCCTCCGGGACTAACATCTTCCCTCACCTACCCCAAATTCCAGTTTCTCACACCCAAAGTCAGTTACTACAGCCCCTTGTCATCGCTTTCTCAACATAATCATTGGGAAAGGAATGTCATCTCCCATAGCTTCTGCATCCCACTTGCCTCCTCTGGACATATGTCCCCCATTACTGATATCATTCTCAAACATACTGTGAGTGGGAAAGTAGTAGTTGATTGTGTTCTGACCAGTTCCATCCCTGATGGCACTGTCACCGCCTTTGATCTAGGAATTCAAGGAATGCAGCCTAATCTGAGCTGCATTCTCTGCTCAGGCTTTCACATGGCCCTGGCATCCACTTTAAAAGCACCTTTCCCCCATGAACTATATTATTAAATCAGTTTCCCCATCTTGTATTTTATTAGTTCAGTCCAGAGTCACAATCTGCCACACAAGCTATTACCCAACTCTACTCAGCTCCATACAACAAAAGCAAAGAAACAACCACAGATAAGGTACAAGAAATTAGAAAGAGATTAACCCTACCTGCCATAAATGTCATTTATCTATGCAACACCAGTCAGAGCAGCTAATGTATGTATAGCTCTGGACTCAGCCCTGGCCATAGAAATGAACAGTCTGACATAACTTGGCTGTCCTACCTAACGGCATGTCTTATTACCATTCAGGGAGCGATTAGTACACAGCAAGTATGAGACCTTCCATCTGGTATCTCATTTAATCCTCACAACAATATTATTGTATACATACCATTAGCTTCATTTTTAAGATGAGGAAACTGAGGCTCTGAAGGGTTAAGTAATTTGATAGAGGCCAAACAGCTAGCTAGCTCATGGTAAGGTAAGGCATCGAACCTAAGTCTATTTGATTCCAAAGCTCATGCCCTTCCTTGCTTCATGATACCACCTGCTGGGTCTATGTCAGCCATCCATAAAAATGCTAACCAGATCAAGGTAGAGGACCCCACAAAGAACTCTTTCAGGACTCCTGAAGGACCAGGTTCATGCATTTATTAAAGCACTTGACTGGACTATTATTCAGTACTTCTCAACCTCCTCCACAAAACCTTGTTCCACGCTTTAAAGAAACACAAGGACATCACCTAGAGTGCCCCTGTCCCCACCTCTGCATATAGATGAAAAAAAGTCAGACTGATGTCAATTACACAGATAAAGAAAGGGGACCACAAAGAAAATGCTAAGCATGAGCATGCATGCGCACACACAAACAACTACAAAATCCAAAGGAGACCATGACAAAATAAAGGGAAAGGGGAGAGGAAGCCACAAAGGAAATTTCCTGAGAGCCAAGTGTTATCCCTGACACCGATGTTCAGAAACAGGCCTCCAGGCCCCCCACTGTTCTTTTCCTTAACCTGTGTCTGGACACAGGGCACCTAAAAGTAAATGGGAAATATCATACATTAAAAAAAGAATGGCACTGCAGAAAATAACTAGAAATTATGCCCTGTTGAGTACTGATAAAAGCTAAATTTAAGCCTGCACAAGCCATTTTTAAATATGCAATTACTCTTCTTGATGGGGAAAGCTGAAAAATAGGAATGGCTTTGCTCCCTGTCCCTGTCCACTCCAGTGCTCCATTTCCCAAGCTACAAATGGGACAGCAATCTTGCTTCCTCCACTCCCTCTCCTGTGTAGTCAAGTTCTCAACCAATGCAGCCCTTACCCCTCACTCCCACTGGCACTAGTTTGGATTCCAAATTTGTACCTTTCTCTTGCTTGGACTCTCCAAACACCTCCTAATCTGACTCTCTCCATCCAGTCCAATCCCCACAGTGCCACCCAAGGACACTTGCTAAAAAATACATTGTCATTCTCTTTTCTTTAAAACCTCCGCAAGCAGTTCTTTAGCCATGTCCTCCTATCTGGAGGTCTGGTGGGTGACAGTGACGAATTCAAGAGTCCTAGGGGCCATCACCTGATGAATGGATGTGGTGCTTTCATATAATGGAATATTATTCTGCAATAAAAGAAACCAAGGACTGACAGATGACATAACATGGGTGAAACCTGAGAGCATTCTCCTAGGTGAAAGAGGCCAGCCACAAGAGGCCACATAATGTATGATACCATTGATATGAAATGATCAGAATAAGCAAATCTATACAGACAGAAAGAGTAGTGGTTAATCAGAGCTGGGAGGAACAGGAAGAGATGGGGGGTGGGACGGCTAAAGGGGATGATTTTGGGGGGATAATGGAAATTCCTAAAATTGATTATGGTGATAGATTGTATATTTCAGCTCACATTCTAAGATACAGTAAATGAATGCACTTTAAATGGGCGAAGCATATGCGATATAATTTGTATCTCAAAAAAAAAAAAAAAAACAGTAACAACAAAAAAAGATTAACCCTAAAAGCTAAGGATTTTTGGCCACGGAGTCACGGAGTGACTTGCTCTGTAATACAGAAATACTCAATCAAACCGCTAAGGTTGCTCTAGGTAACGGGGTGCTCCTGCAGATGGAGTGGGTGGTAGAGATTCCTTTTAAAAACGAGCAAACAGGCTGACCCTGAGGTTGGGCCGGGAGATCAGCATTTCAGCCATGGGCCGGGACCCGGCTTTGCAGAGGCCTGGACACCCCCGGCCCCCGCACGCCCTCCCTCGCGGCACCAGCCTCCCCAGCTCCTCCGAGGCCGCCCGGGGCGAGGCCTGCGACTCAGGGGGTCCGGCTATCCCGGTGAACGAGGGCACGCCAGCAGGGAAGGAGCGGCGCGAGTCACCCCTAGGCTTCCCTCCGGTCCGAGGACGCCGGCGGCTTCCACTTCCCCAGCCCGCCCCCGCCGCCCCAGGTGGCTCGGGTCGCCGCTGCCCCCGCGCCCCCGCCCTCGGCCTGCGCGGCGCGGCTCACCCGCCTCCACTGGGGGACGCCAGCCCGGGACGCCGCAGTAGCGGCGGTGACGAGTGCGCCTGCGCCGCGGGAGCCAGCGCAGCACCGCCCCCACCGGGTGACTGCGCGTCGATCGCCCTCTTCCGGCCGCGCGCGGGACTCGGGGCCCTACTGGGTGCCGGTTCCCTGAAGCGACCCCACCCAGTTAAAAGAAGACAGCTGGCCCCACCAACAGCCCTCTTTACCTGTTCCTTCTGGCTCTTGCCTCCCAGGTTATAAACCTTGAAGACAAGCTCTCGTTCACCTTCATGAGTATGGATTGTGCTAAAATACTTGGGATCTGAGAAAAGGCTTGCTGGAAGATTCTTCCTAAACCTCTCGGAATCTGCGTTCATCAAATTCAGCCCCATAACACCTGTCAAAAGAATAAATATGACAGTAATAGGCATGCTTCCTTTCAGACCCATCTATAATTATAATTGAGGGAAAGAATACAGAATTTAAACTCAGAGCTCCTGCCAGTATCATTCTTTGAAAATGAAATAATGTTGTTTCATTAAATAGGCTCTCCCCGTTCGCTAGTGTTTAAAGCCAAAGTGCTTCTCTGAATTGATTTAAATACAAGTTTTATATCCTGAAAGAAATAAAGATGTGTCTTTATCGTGAGACAAACGCTCTGTTCAATGATGCTGCTGAGCATCTCTGGGCTGTCTGAAAGGGAGTTAGATTGTCGGTGGATAATATTGCTTCTGTTCACGTCTCTCTTCTCTAGGGCTTTTTAAACCTATTTGTAATGAAAAGGCTGATTTTCTTACACAGACTCCATGTGTAGTTGCTTTAACAGAGCAATTTCTTATAATGTTGTCTTTTTTCTTTCCTCATCTTTTTTTTTTTTCCATTTTAAGGAAAATTTTGCTCACTGGTAGCACCTGGGAATCTATTTTTCTCCTCTTAGAATAAGAGAAGCAGGAGATGTTTCTTAACAGAACTGTTTTCTTAGACTTCCTCCCCTTTCTCCCCTTAACTCTCTTTAGAATTTTCCTTTATTTATTTATTTTTTGGTTTCTCTCTTCACCTAACATACTAGACAGCCTCCAAATCAGTGGGGGGCTCCTCCCCTGAAATATTCAGATAATTGCCTCCATTTATTTTCAGTATGTAGACTTGTACCAAATATATCTGAAAGATCCAATTGTATCCTCATAAATCAGCCCTCTTATTTACACATGCATAATCAGGGGCACATCATTAGTGCATATCCAATCAATAAATCATTACGCTTTTAAGCCCCTTATTAGGAACAATCTGCAGTAACATCCTCAACTCCCTGTTCAGCCTTAGGATCACTTAATATTTTTAACAAATTTCACAATCTGTTCCCTGGTCCCATCTCCCTTTTGTTCCTAGATCGCTGCATTCCTGCCTCAGAAACATCCTTCTAATACCTAGATCTCATAAAATATTCAAGATGCAAGCTGTTCTCTTTACCTCTGAAAGGCTCCACCTTCAGAATTACTTGTGCTTCTTCTATCCTTATAAACACATGAGATTTTATTTTTCACCAAAAAAAGCTATAAACATCCAAATACCAAGAAAAATAAAATAACCTAAAGTAGGACAGATGTGGCCAACAATCTCCAATATTATTTTCCAAGTCACAACAGAAACTTAGATTTAAAAATAATTGAACTGTGATACTTTTAACTTGACAGAAACCTTAGATTTATACAGCTTTGGGAATTAAACTAAAGAATTCTTAATAGTTCAAACAGTCACTAAAATGACATGAGTCCCACAATCTAATGAAAACCCAATCATTCTTACCATGTCATTTTCCTTTACACTGAAATTTCAGCAGATGAACACCCTTGTGTCAGAGGGTGCATGATATTTACAGATAAACAGAATTTGAATGACTTTTTGCTTAAGAAATTTGTTACCGAAGAGTTGGCTGTCCTGAGGACATGCTCTCACAGGGGAATTTATTGAATTCCCTAAGAAATACATTGCCACATTCTCTTGATTTCTGACATTGTGTCATTTAACCTGACAACTGCAGATTTGTAACCAGTATTTGTAGGGAAAGATATAAGAAGTCCTGATGCTTCCAGTTTAAACCTGTTTTAAGATTTCAAAGAGAAATGATACATTTGCATGCTCTGATTAAATCAGATTATTGTCTCAAAGGTTGACCATGTAAATAATTCAAATTAATTCATCAGTATACAATAGATTTAATAAGCATAATAAACACTTTGAAGAAAATACTTGGGACCTCCGATCTGCCCTTACTCTCACTCCGAATTATCTCAAATTTCCCTGAGAACAGAATGAGTGGTACCACGTAGTTCTCTTCTATTCAAAATATGCAAAGTTGCTATTTACCAGTTCGCAATTTGCATGTCTCGAATCCTGCCAGAACACAGGGTGAGGGGCATGGGGTGATTGTGCCAAAAGAGGGCACGGGGCGAAAATGGAAATCCAGTGAACACATCTTCACCACCCCAGGGTGCTGCAAAACATAACCCTAGCTGACTGCTCAAGATTTGTTTGTAAGACAATGAAAATATTGGGTATAAAAGGTAATGCAAAATCTCAGACATCTAGTGTCTTTTCTTCTTTAATTGCTGGGTGGAAGAAGAGGATGAGCAAGGATTTCAAGATTTTTATAAAAAAGGAGTACAAGAGGAAAAAGGGTACAATTGTGACTATTTACAACATACACTTGGAGAGTAATTTATAGGCTGGAGTTTTAGCCTTTAGTCTTCTGTCTTGTGTTACTTTCTGCAGCGCCATCAATCTAACCTTGCTGACTGGTATATGTCATTCTCTATTTCTGGTGTGTTCTGTAGTAATTTATTGACAGTGGCCACACTTGAGATCACACTGGTGATCAGGTGCATGTTGTCTCTGAATGTGAGTCTCCACTTTTTCATCTCTGAAAATATGTTCAATGTCTCAAGATTTAAGATTGTAAATAACATGTATGTCCATACATACATTTTTTTGGTATAAATCAGCTTTGGGATGAATTTTCCCCCCCTCAGAAGAATATGTGCATTCTGGACATTTGTATTGCAATATTACTCAAAGAATGAACGTGCTTGGGAACACCATTCTTTTTTTTGCATTTTGATGGCGGGTGACTAAAGATCCATTTTAAAATTACCTGGCTCACAATGTGTGACTCTGTTTCCACTGGTGACCTCTGTAGAGTCCTAAGATGGCCACAGATAAGAATGAAATGCTACAGTTACTAGAAGAGAAGACTGTAGGAAATAATCTGTTTTGCTAAATGGGGATATTTGGCAGAGGATGGGAGATGGAGGGGTGGACAGGGGATGGAAGAGAAGGAAGATAGAGAAAAAAAAACGAAGGGAAGAGAGAATGAGAAAAAGAAAACAGAAAAGAGAGTTATTCTGTTGATTTTGTCCCAAGACGAAGGGCTGATAAAGTTGACTAGCTGAGGAAAAAAAAAAAAAAGGCAACATTAATGAAGGAAAACCATTATTTGGCTTGACCAGGAAATAGGGTGTTCTGGTCCATCAAATATGTAATTAATAGTTACCTTCCACTTCAGCAAACATTTACTGATACTCCTCCATGAGCAAAACTCTGTGCAAGGGCCTGGGTCATGACCAAGGCCTTGGCACACCATCCCTCCCCTTCACCCTTTCCTGTCTTCCTCTGTTTTCTGTTGAAGGCAGTTCTAATCTTGTCATTGTCCTGCAGTAGACCCCTTAATGGCTTCCCAGTGTTCTCTGAATACTTATGTCAACTCCTTACCACATCCTACAAGACCCTGCCGGGTCTGTTCTCTTAAGCTTCCCTTCATATCCCTGCAGACCACAATGTTGTTTTGCTTTTTGCAGTACTAAGGATTGAACCCAAGGGTGCTCTAGCACCAAGCTACATCCCCAATCCTTTTTATTTTATATTGAGACAGGGTCTTGTTAAATGGCCTCATTATTGTGATCCTCCTGCTTCAGCCTCCCAAATTGTCAGGATTACAGGCCTGTGCCACTGCGTTCACAGTGATCTTTCAGACCCTCAAATATACCATGTTCCTTCCATCCTGCTCCTCCTTTCAATCCCAACTCACAGATCTCCTCCTCAATTTCTCGAACACTCCCACTCCTGCCCCACACTGGGACAGAGACCCAAAGTTGTAGCCTGTACCTTTCTCCATGGCATGCATCACAATTTATAATTATATATACTTGAATTTGGATTTCTCCAGGAGAAGACTCTGAAGCAAGGATTTGAGATCAAGTAATTCATTTAGAAGATGGTCCTAGAAAACAACCAGGAAGGGACTGGAGAAGTACAACAGGGAAGGGAAGAGGGCTCTGCCGGGCTGGGGCTGTGGCTCAGTGATAAAGCATTTGCCTAGCATGTGTGAGGCTCTGGGTTCGATTCTCAGCACCACATATAAATAAATGCATAAAATAAAGGTCCATCAACAACTAAAAATACATATATATTATAAAAAGAGGGGGTTAAAAAAAAAGAAAGAAATCCCTGCCAAGCGAGTTACCACCATGGGCAGCTGAGCTTCATCTTGCTGGGGAGGCAGTGTGGAACACTTATCTCAGTGATCCTTCCCCTCCTCTGTGGGTATTTATACTTCAATTCCTGTCAGTTACTGGCTGAACAATGCTCTCCTGCTAACTCCCTGGTACTTCTAGCCTGCTCTGCTCCCAGGCAGAGATGCAGATGCCGGGCAGCTGGAAATCAGCCAGGTATTGCACAATGGTATGGCTCAAGGGATCTTGGGTTGGCCACAGACAGTTCTGCTGGTTACGTAAACAAATACATTTACATATAACTACATTTACACATAATATGTACAAATGTGCATGTACATGAACATAGTATGCATTTGTGTGATTCTATCAGTCGTATCTGTTTCCCGAAGGAGCCCCATGGGAGCAGGGGCTGAGTGTCAGTGTCCTGCCCAGGGCCTTACCCTCACTAAAATCCTTCTCTCACCAACACCCTCAACTTCCTGGTTCCTCTCCCCTTCTGTCACTCAACTCTGGATGAATCAATCCTCCTCCTCCAATGTGCACCCAAACAGATTAATG